AACAAAACATTTTAAATAATATTAATAATAATAACAGGTAAAATTTTTGACTTAACGTTACAATTAAATAAATAATTTTTCTTTTTTTTTTTATTTTTTAATTCAAATTTTTTTTTTTTTTTGTAATTTTTTAACCCTACGAACCGACCGATAGCAGAAGCAGAAGAAAAAAAAAATTCAGAAAGAAAATAAAGTCACGTTTTTTATAATATAATCAACTCGCAAGTTATATTGAAAAAAAAAAAAAAAAAAATGTAAAAATGTCGAACCAAGACGTCTGCTCATTCCCGATTTCATTTGATTATATTTCAAATTGAATAATAATAATAATAATAATAATAATATTTTATATAATATAAAAATTAAATAATGTAACAGTTTATAAAATCAAATATAGATTTTTAATGTGGGTGTATTTTTCCTGTTTTTTTTTTTTTTTTTATATTTGCGTTTATTTTTTTTTTATTCGCATTTTATTTTATTTTATTTTATTAAAAAAAAAAAACCGGAAATGAATTAAATAATTTTAATTTACAGATATGTCCATATCAAGATCATCATCTTATCAATCGAATATGAGCCTTCCGGTTATGTTTTGGACAAGCGTTTTCTTATTACTTTTCGCTCGTGGCGTTTATTGTAACGAAGAACAAAATAAATTCGATCGATATACTAAAATCGAATTGGATCCGAATCCCCAAGGATATACGGGATCCGATGTATGATTATTATCATAATTATCACTTTAATGGGAGGAAACTCCCTTAAAAACCTTTTTTTTTTTTTTTTTTGTAGGTTCGAGAAACGTATAACGCAATGAATATACTTCGAGAATTGATACAAAGGCATCAACAACAAGATGGTGGAATTCAAGATTATCAAATTTATAATAATAATAATAATAATAATAATAACGGAGATGATTTGATTGAAAATTCAATAGATTGGAGAAAAGTTCCCATACCCCTTTTATATCAAATCAAAGCAATCATCAATGATGGAAGGAAAGAAAAAGACAAAAGAGGCAGTTGTGAGTTTTTGTTTAAACAATTCATTCGATTTAATAAGATGAAATATTAAATAAATAAATTTATTTATTTTTTTTTTTTTAGATATGTTGCCATGCCATTTTAAAGTTTGTAATCTGGGATGAAAAGAAAAAAAAAATAATTAAAAATTTTTATTATTTTCAGTTGCACTAAACTTTTTTGTCAAAAGTTTTTTTGGAATTCACGAAAAATTAAAATGAAACAAAAAAAAAAAAACATAATTTTTAAAATTATTATTTCAATCATAAATGCTGTTGTATTCGATTGTCTCTAATCTAATAATAATAATAATGATAATTTAAAATTTGACGATTTTGCCTTTTGTTTTTATGCATAATCTTCCTGTTAAAAAATTTTTTAAAATTCGTATAGTAAATTATTATCATTATCATAAAGTAAATTATTTAATTAAAGTTCAAAAATTAATCATTATTATGAATAAAATGTTTATAAATTATTATAAAATAACAAAAACGCGGTTAAAAGTAAAAATAAAAGTTGTAAAAAGAAAATTTTGGGTACTCATAAAAAATATTTTAATAATTGAATAAAATACGTTTCCGCCATTTTGATTATTAAAAAAAAAGTTTAAAAAGTATATAAATAATTAAAATATTTTTTTCATCTTTTTTTATTTATTAATAAAAGAATTTAATTAGTTTGTTAATTAGTTATAGTTTTAATGTTTATTAATCATATACGATTATTGGTTAATCCACAACATAAGGTTTTTCTTCTTCCACGTTGGTGTTTGTTATTCTATGGTATCAGAAGAAGAAGAAGAAGAAGAAGAAAAATTACAATTTTTTATGTAAAGTTAGGAACATGTTTATATTGATGTGAGTTATATCTTCTGCATAGTATCTTTCACATGGGTTTGTTGGCACCAACACAATTCTAAGTAGTGTGAAGACTCCATAATCTGGAATTGGTTCTGCATACCAGCAGGTTCTTGGTAAAATTTTCTAAATACTTAATCTTCAAGGAGATCCATAATGGTTGATGCTGGTTTCATTCTTCTATAATGTGTCTTCTGAATAGTTTTTTGAAATGTTGGTTATTTTCTTCTTCTTACATTTTTATTCTTATTTGGATTCCTTGAATTCTAATTGATTTATGTTTTTTTTTGAATTTCGGTTCAACTGACTCTTATATTTGTAAATTCTACAGGTAGACAATAGTGTCTTTATTTAGGTATGATTTTATCAAAATTGTATTTAAATTATTTAAATTTTTAAAGTAAATTACAAATTTTTTTCTTTGAGTTTCCAGAAAATTAAAATCTACAATAATTGGTTATTTTTTCTGTAGATGGAGCTGAACAAAAAAATTAAAATTTCAACGGAATTTATGTGGTTGGTCTCTAACTTCAAGATAAATTCAGGATCGATTTGCTCTTGAAATCTGGGAAAACTCGGATTCTTCTGCTAGTTTCCTGTTGCTCACAGTATCCTACCGACTACGTCAATAAATTATTATTATGATTTATTTTTCTTTTTCTACATTTCCGATTCGATTACCGGTTGCTACATAACATTACGCTTTTTTGCTCCGCGTTGGTGTTTTTCATTCCATGGTATCAGAAGAAGAAGAAGAAAAACGATGTCATATTGATGAAAGCAACATGTTCACATTGTTATGATTTTAACCTAAAAGTTAATCTAAAAGTTGGTAAATAATGCTGAGTGACGTAACATTTCTTTAACGAATGATACCAAAAGATAGACGTACGTCACCGGAACACAACAGCATCAGAAGAACCTCTTCTCCAGTAATTCCATCTCCTTTTATATGTCTCACTCATTATTATTTTCACCGTAATAAAAGCTCCAACTACAATGAACTTAATAAAAACACAAACAAAGGAAAAAGAAGGTTCTAGAAGATTCGCTTCTCTATTTCCGGACCTCATCGTTACCATTGTTGGTTTTAGTAACGTTTACAAACATTGGTAATTAATAAATTAAAGCTCATAATGATCAAAACAGTTTTTTTAATTATAAAATATTAGTTTTTTTTTAAAAAATAAAACTAAAAACATTTAATTAATAAAAACACACAATTAATTAATTTCAAAAGTTAAATTTTTATTTCGTTAATGTCGTCAAAGTGGTTTTAAAAAAATATTTTTCGTTATTTTTGAAAAAAAAAAAAAAAAAAAACATTAAAAATAAAAAATAAAATAAAATAATTTTTTCCCGCAAGAATAAATGACATTTTCTTTAAAATCTTTACTAAAAAAAACGTTTAAAATTTAAATGGTAACTAACGGTTCTTCCACGTGACCGGTAAAAAATGGTTGTCACAACAGAATCAGTAGAAACCGATCATTACCGGTCATTTTCAAGTGACCGTTTTTTACTAATCACGTGGCAATAATTAGTAATTATTAGATTATACTGACTATATGGTAACTACTATTTGTTAACGGTTACCTATTATTACCGGTTTTTACTTGTCACGTGACGAGACGATATATTTATTATACCTGCAACTTATTTGTTTGGTCACTTTGTGACATATTTTATTGACAGTTTTTACGGGTTACGTGGTACTGACCGATAATTACCAGTTTGTATTTTTCTCTTAATTATTATAAAAGTATAACTAATATTATAAAAGTTTTTATTTATTTATATAAAATAAAAAAAAAAAAAACATTACGTAATACGAATAAGAAAATCATTGAAAAATATCAATAATATAATTTAGTTATATTACTCATGTGTTTTTTTTTTTATATTTTTATTTCAGGTATAATAAATATTTGAACGTTTTTATAAAAGCATTTTATAAATAAATTTTTTTTCTTTTATTTTTCAATAAAAAAAAAAAGAAAATTTTATATGTTTTTTAAGCGTCATTCAAATGATTTAAACCGTTTGTTGTTTTAAAAAACATAAAAATATAACAAACTGACTTTAATTTACTTGGGTATTTCAATAAAAAATTCTTATCGTTGGAAATTTTTTGAATAGGCTTTGCATTAGTGAACATTTTCTCTCTCCCCCCCCCCTCTCTCTCTCTCTCTCTCTCTAAAATAATGTTTGCCAACCACTCAAAATTGTATGAAAAAAAAAAAAAAAAAACATTGATAGATAAGATCCGCCACCGCATTTAAATTAGGAAACAGAAAAATGGAAAAAAAATTGAGGATAAGAAATTTTCTTTTATGTAAATATGTATATACTGATATTATATGAAAAAAAAATTTAACCTGAAATTTTTCCAAGAATTTTTCTAACGTCATTCTAACCTCTCATTGAATAAAAAAAAATTTATTTTCTCTATGACTTTGTCATTATGCACACACACACAATTTATAACAAAATACATCATCTCCATTCCTTTTCTACACTTCATATTAATGCAATTCAAAAAAATTCATTAAAACACACAAGTTTATAAAAATTATACAACAATGATGATAATAATAATAATAAAAATAACGACAGTAATTTAATTTGTGAAAACCACCAAAAAAAAAAAAAGAAAACAATAAATTATATTTTGTCGACTTGTCATAATGGTATCGCACTACAAAAAAAAACAAAAAATTAACAACAGACAATACAAACGACAACAACGACAACAAACCCAAAAATAATAATAATAATAATAATAATGACAAATATTCGTTTTCTTAAAGTATTTTCGTCTTTCGTAAAAAATTAATAATAATTATTTATAAATAAATAAATCAAAATTAATGATAATTAATTTTAATTATAATCGTCCTTAAAAATTTCACGAGAGAAATCGAAAACTCATTTCCGGATTTTAAAATTATCCCAAAATATTAAAATTTCCTTTCTGTTAAATGTTTTAAATGTGTCACGTGTTTTGTGGAAAGTCTTAATATTAAATTCGAATTAATAACAGTTACAAGGTAGAAAAATTTCTTTTAAATGAACGTTTCACGTTTTCATATGAGAAAAATATATAATATATAATGAAAATTATTATTACTATTATTATTATTATTCTTTATTAAAAGCCTGTATGTTTGTCACAAAATTCACGTGTGTAAATGTGTGTAAATGTGTGTGTGGGTGTACACACACACACACACACACTTATTTAATTAAATATTATTTACTTTTCGAGAACAATTATGCAGTTGCGGAAATTGTTTTTTTTTTTTTTTTTTTAAAACCAAAAAATAAAAAAGGAAAATCAAAAAACCGTAAAATTTAAATGATGGTTGGTAGTATATATTATATATATATATTTAAATAATATAAAATAATTTTATTATTGTTTTAATTTTTTTTTTTTCGAATAACTTTATATATTATTTAGTTATTCAAATTTATTTATTTATTTTTTTTTTGTAAAAAAAAAATAAAAAATTAATATAATTGACCGTTTATATATGTCATTGAAATTAAATGAAAATGGAAAATATTTTTTTTATTAAAATAAATAATAAAAAATGCAAAAAAATAGAAAAAAAAAAAAGAAAAAAAAAAAGAAAATTTTTATTAAATTCAAAGACTCGTATATTGAAACTTTTGCATTCGATATATAAATTACAAGCGGGGGTCATCTAACAATAAAAATTGTTTTGATATTGTTATTTTCATCGGAAATTCTATATTAAGCTTTTGTTATTCCGCCATTTTTATTTTATATTATTATAAGAAAACCGTATTATACAAATCGATTTACGTTAATGCGTTAGTTTTTTTACGTTTTAATAAAATTTACTAACCGAATTTGAAATAAGAATTTGGCGCCTATATAATATAAGAGCATTTCAAGAGCCACGGCAGAAACAGGTGGTTGCTACCGATTATTACAATTGAAAATTTGTTGTTTTTTTTTTTGTTTGTTTGGTTTGTTTCAAAATTTATTTTTATTTGTTAAGAAAATTAAACATAACGTATTATTGAGAAAATTATTATTATTATAATTGTTACTTTTATTTAAAATTTTAAAAAAAATATAACCGAAAAAAGGGGAAGAAAAAAAAATAAAGA